AGGGGTCAAGGGTTAGTCTTGGGGGTTTGGCTGAGCATATGGAAGGTCATTTTATCAAGAAGGGGAAGCCAGCGAGAGGAGCAGGGTGTAGGAGAGGAGGATCCCAAGGGTTTCTTTGCAAATGAATCGCGGGTTCCCACAGGCGGCTGTGCATTTCACCTCTGCTGCAGGCATCTCCAGAGCAAGCCCAGCCCCAGGCTGGTGGGTGTGAGTGGTGGTGGCTGGGAATGCCAGATGGATGGAAAAAAAAAAAAAAAAATCGGCCTTTCGAGGTGGCTAGTTGCCAGCCAAGAAATGATTCAGTCTGACTCAGCAATAAGATTGAAAAGAAAGTGGTCAGAAGACCTTGCCCCTGCAGGCTTGGCGGGAAGCAGTCACTTTCTGTTAAAGGTCGGTGAGCGGTGAGAGGGAAGACATACCCGTGCATTGGCCACTGCAGCCGTCTTCGAAAATTCAGGAAAGGATAATCCCATACCTACAGCTTCATGTCCTTCCTCCCAATCTTTATTTTACACATTTTTCTATAAGCAGTTGAACTCATCCACAGAGCACGATTTGGCAATTTCCTTTCTCACTAAACAGCAGAGCACATGTTTCCTAAATTGCTTTCCGGAGAGGATGTACCGATCCGCTCTTCTCCAAACAGGGTGTTAGAAGGCCTCTCTTCTGGCAATTTTTGAAAAGCCTACAAGTGAAAAATAGCAATTTCTTATTCTTAATTCCTAATTGTTTCCATTTATCATTCACTGTTACTTCAATTTGCAATTATTGCGTGCCTAGAGAGAATGGACACTTCTCAAGTTGCTTATTAGTTATATATCTTTCCAATATATATTTTCATGTATATATTTTTCAATATATACTTTTTCAATATATATTTCAATTCATAATTCATTCTTTGTAATGTTTTTTTTAAAGTTTATTTATTTCGAGACAGAGCGTAAGAGAGACCAGCAGAGAGAGAGAGAGAGAGAGAGAGAGAATCCCAAGCAGGCTCCGCACTGTCAGCGTGAAGCCCGATGCGGGGCTTGAACTCACGAACCACGAGATGGTGACTTGAGTCGAAATCGAGTTGGGAGCTTAACTGACTGAGCCACCCAGGCACCCCATAATTCATTATTTTAATTGACAATTCTTTCATTTCTAGAGCAAATGAAACCTTTATAAATGCTTATATATATATATATATATATATATATATATTTTTTTTTTTTTTTTCAAAACTGACTTCTGCAAAGATATTTCTGGGATGGTAAATAGGAACCAGAATCACCGAAATTTAGTTAAAACTCACCATTCCCACCTCGGGAAGTAGCGTCTCCCCAAAATGGCTGTAAGTATGAGGAAGGCGGGGGTAGCAATGGGGAGAGGAAGGCTGTGGTGGAAAGGGTGGACTGAATGGCTGGGTGACCCCAGTTCCCACGCCAGCCTCAAGTACACCTTTGTAAGGCTGAGGCTCCAAGCTCTCTGAGCAAACCAGTGCTAACCAGTGCCTGAGGCAACCCGAGAGCCAACAGGCCTGTCTCGGCTCCTTCAGGGTAGGGACTATGTCTGGGTCAGCTGCGTCTCCAGGGCCTCTATGGCACCTGGCGCGTCGCCAACCCTGGGCGCAGACTTGTTCCATGACCGGCTACCGGGAAGACCGACTAGTTGCTCGGAGAGAGGAGACTGTGTCCCTCTGTGTTCTCTGTTCTGTTCTCTGCCGTGTCACTAGCCAGCAAGTCCCTCCCTCGCACAGGCCTCCACCTCCACACCTTTGGAAGTTAATCCGAACAATAGCAAACGTTCCTTCTAACTCTGAAATTCCACGAAAACACCCAGGCTGTTTTGCTTCTCTTTGTTTAGTTTCCTCATCTAGGAAACAAGATGAAAATGTTGACCTCCCACGAGGTTGTCACATAAGTTATGGGGCACTCAGTTACCCCTGAATATCAGATAAGCAAGGAATAAGTTTTGTAGTGTAAGTTTGTCTCAAATAGTGCACGACTGTGTAAATAATTGAAGCACTGAATGATTAAACAACATCCAGCTGGATCAGTTTATTGCGTTTGTGGCTGTGTTTCTGGACTGCTGATGATTATATGGCATTCATTCAACGAGTATTTATTGAGCATCTATTAGATTGTTTAGGCCCTGGTGACACAGCAGAGAATGAAATAAAGCAGTATCTCTGTTTTTATAGGAATGACATGCTGATAGACACACACACACACAAAAAAATACATAAAGTATCAGGTGGTCATAATGTTCAGAAGACTAATAAAGCAGGATACGGGTCAGAGACCATGTGAGGGGGTGAAGGGGGGAGTTGAGCAATCTGATTAACTTGACCCTCTGCACCTGGGAGCCCCCAACCTCCACCAAGAGCTGTGTTTGTAACAACAGGACCCTGACGTTAGTTTATGGCAGTCAATGAAGCTGCATAAAAATGATGTCATTGATTCAAAGGCGCATGTCCAAATAAGGGATAAAATTATCAGTTGCAGGGATGGAAGAGAACTATAAATCATTCAGTGCAGATTTTAGCTGAGCTAGGGCTGCAACCAAGTTTCCTGACAGCCCGGAGAAAGTTCAGGAAGGTAATGCGCTTGTTAAAAAGATGCTTCTGTTTTCAATTCTATTTGCCAGTCAGGGCGGATTGAGTCCTGACAACTTGATGTGTTTTTGAAGTCTTAGCTGGAACAACAGTGAAAGGGTTTCTTCTTTAGGAAGTCTTTATGCCTCGTGAAGCCAGTGCTCTTAGGTTCAAGGCTGGGCGGGGGACTGTCAAACTAACTGCGGGAGAGGCCACCTCTCCTATCTCCTGCCAGCCGAGAGACGTCAGTCATTAGTCTCATTACTGTAATTATCTTCAGGATCACATCAGGCTTCCAGGTTGCTTTTATCCCTGGTTACTCCGGTTGCTATGGCCACGAATCCTATGTTTTATTGCTAAGCTGTGTATTTGGTCTATACCTTTGCTATGCAAGGCGTGGTTCCCAGGCCGGCGGCATCCACATCTTCTGGAAGCTGGCTAAAAATGCAGCCTCAGGCCCCACCCCTGACCTGCTGAATCACAGCCTGTCCTAAAGTTTAGGAAACACTGCGCTAGAACATTCTGTGTGCTTGCTTCCATTTCATTCCACACATTAGACGGCTCTTTGATTTGCTGCAAAAGCCTCCTGTCTGCTATGTGGAGCTCATTAACATCTTCCTCTAGTAAAACGAGATCAGTTTGTAGAGTTTTTCTTATCGTTTTCAACTCACGGGAGTTCTGTGCTTAGACGTGTCTGGGGTTCTTGGTTTACAAAAGAAGATCATCACAGAAGCCTGAGGAAATTAAGGTTTGGTGGAGAAGAGGCAGTTCTGTGAAAACCAACAGGAGAAAGTACCCATGAAGTTTCCACCAGAGGTGTTTTTAGGCATAATAGTGGCGTCTCCACAAATTCTGTTCCCCCAAAGAGTAAGCGCCTGTAGTCCCATCAGACGTAATTGCCAACCACACAAACTGGACACGACACCTGAGCATCTGAGGCCTGTGGGCCCTGAGAGAACACTTGGGTGCAAGAGTCAGGATGCACGAGGGAACCAGCTCTCACCAGGTGACCCGGGCTTCTCCGAGTCCCAGCCAGACCCAGGTGAAGGGACAGCTCACCGGTGATGAGCGATGAAAGCACGCCTGTTCACCTTCCCAGGGGGATAGGTTTGCTCACTGCCTCTTTCATCATGGCGCCCTTCCCAAGATAACAAGCTGAGGTAAGTCCTGCCTCCGAAAGTCTTGGAACCCCTGAAGGGCAGAGCATATAGGGGGGCTCCCCCAACAGACAATGCAGAAAGCCAAGAGTAGACACACTCCAGCTGGGACTGGGAGCGAGGCCTCAGAGAGGTGAGCACGGACCATCTACCCCGAGGCAGCAAACAGGGCCGCTGAGACGGCTGAGGGAAGGTCGTTTGGTTTGATGTGGACCCTTCGATGTGAACTTGGTAAACCATGTTACCATACCCAGTCACAAAGAGCTGCCTCCCACTTTCTTTCTGGAGGCTCAGGGGATTAGGAGAGAACTAACAAAGGTGGGTTTGTAAAGTCCTTCCAGGTCTTTGAGAGCAGCCCGCTCTAGGACCTCAGATCAAGGCTTCAAGTTGAAGATTTTTTTTTTTTAACTTTTTTTTTAATGTTCATTTATTTTTTTGAGACAGAGAGAGACAGAGCATGAACGGGGGAGGGTCAGAGAGAGGGAGACACAGAATCTGAAACAGGCTCCAGGCTCTGAGCTGTCAGCACAGAGCCTGATGCGGGGCTCTAACTCACAGACCGCAAGATCGTGACCTGAGCCGAAGTTGGCCGCTTAACCGACTGAGCCACCCAGGCGCCCCTGAAGATTTTTGAAAGCAGGCTGATCAGTCTGGGAAGTGTCCCAGAGGGATCACTGCACCCAACCTTCTTGTACAGATGGAGACATGAAACCAAGTCTCTAAGCGGGGGATGGGACTAGCCCAAAGTTCCATGGCACTTTCTGGCAGAGTGACAGTCGGCACTCAGGTCATCTGGCTCCTGGCCCCAAACTCTTTCAACTGCCCCCTGAGAGCTTGTCTTTGCTGGGGCAGTGAAGGGGGCCATCCGTTTAACACACTTCTGCTTCTGAGGATAGTGGGCAAGGGCCCTCCTTTCAGTGTCCTCGGCAAGATTGCCTCCACCCAGGCTGCGACTCTGCATGGTCCCCCAGGGCCCCACTGTCTTCACAGTAGGGCCACCAACTACACCTCAGAGGAGACCTGACCCACCTGGATGCCTGGTTGGACTCCATGATCTCCCTGTCTCTGAATTTCTATGCTCAGCCCCACCCCCTTCCCACTTTGTTCTTGGTACATGAAGAACCCACTCTTCCTTACTAGACTGCAAGTCTGGGGTGGGAAGTAAATGTCCACCTTCTCAGTTCCTTTAGCACCCAACGTGCAGCTGGGCATACAGCTAACACGCCGCACCTGCCCGAGTGACCCTTTCTCCTGTCTTCCCTTGACAGATTCGGAGCCCAGTACGTTGGACTCTCCGTCTTCCACCACTCTGTTCCTCTCCTCCGAGGAGCCGGGCCCCTCCACCGCCGCGCTGCCTTCTCCCTCCTCCTCCTGCGAGCCCCAGGCCTTTTCCCCCGGCGCCTCGGTGCTGCCCCCGCTGCTGCCGCCGCCGCCCCCCGCGGCCGCCGCGCCCCCGGGGCGCGCGGGCCTCTACTCGGTGGTCGTCTCCTCCCCGGAGGGGGCCCCGCGCCTCGGCGACTGGCTGCCCGGAGGCCCCGCGGCCACCCCTCCCGGCGTCCGCAGGGATGAGCGGGAGCGACCGGGGCCCGAGAGGGGCCGTGCCCCGCGCCCGGGCGCAGCGGGCAGGGAGGAGGGCGCTGAGGCCCCAGCAGCCTCCCCGCCACCCTGCGCCCCGTACGCTGCTCCCGCCAGCTTGGAAGCCAGCGTCGGGGACATCCTGGCGGAGCTGCGGACCATGAACGGCCACCTGGACGTCATCGCGAGGGCCCTCACCAAGCTGGCCTCGTCCCTGGCGCCTCCGCCGCAGCCCCTGCAGGAGGCCCGGGACGCCGACTAGTTAACCGAGCTGCCGCCTGCCTGTGCACCTTAGCCGCGCTCAGCAAAGGGACCCCCAGGGCACCGGGCCTCCCCGCCTGGCCTGCCCGTCGTCACAGGGGAGCCCAGCAGAGGCAGCAGAGGAGGGGATTACTCTGCAGGGCGTCTCGGTCTGAAATGATGGTGCTTCTCAGGCTCTGGGCGGACAGGCCCTTTCTCAGCAAAAGCACGGCTGTCCCACCCCTCCCTGGGCTCTCCTGCCCTTCCAAGGCCCTTCTCCTCGTTTTGGAAAAGGCCTTGAGCTCTGGCAGGATTGGTGGCCCTGGATGGCGGTGGGACCTCGGGAAGGATGCTCCGAGAACTATCCTCTCGCGTCCCACATGTGTATGGAGGGAAAGCAAGCCGGCTCCAGCTTTCCTCGCCGGGTTGTTGACGGTGTATCTGATCTCTGGGGCCGTTTATGTATTTCTTTCGAAAGAGTTATTTTTGGCTGATTAACTTTATTTTTTCTCATTATAACCACATTTTAAGAAGTTGGGGAAATAGAGAAGTGAAAAAAAAAATCTGATGTATTTGGAGAAGGGGGGATATTTAAGTCTTTCTTATGAATAAGAAAGTATTTGAGTCAGAAATAAAAATTTTATATGTACTCTCTGGATGTTGGCCTCGCTCTGCTTCATTTGTTCCTTCGCACGGGCCCCTGTTCGTGGATGTTTGTCCCCGGCCCTCTTTACTCCTTTGGATCTTATTTCCACTTTTCTCATGCCTGTGAAGAATAAGTTTCTTTTTTTTTTTAATTTTTTTTTAATTTTTATTTATTTATTTATTTTTTATTTATATATGAAATTTATTGTCAAATTGGTTTCCATACAACACCCAGTGCTCATCCCAAAAGGTGCCCTCCTCAATACCCATCACCCACCCTCTCCTCCCTCCCACCCCCCATCAACCCTTAGTTTGTTCTCAGTTCTCAACAGTCTCTTATGCTTTGGCTCTCTCCCACTCTAACCTCTTTTTTTTTTTTTTTCCTTCCCCTCCCCCATGGGTTCCTGTTAAGTTTCTCAGGATCCACATAAGAGTGAAACCATATGGTATCTGTCTTTCTCTGTATGGCTTATTTCACTTAGCATCACACTCTCCAGTTCCATCCACGTTGCTACAAAAGGCCATATTTCATTTTTTCTCATTGCCACGTAGTATTCCATTGTGTATATAAACCACAATTTCTTTATCCATTCATCAGTTGATGGACATTTAGGCTCTTTCCATAATTTGGCTATTGTTGAGAGTGCTGCTATGAACATTGGGATACAAGTGCCCCTATGCATCAGTACTCCTGTGTCCCTTGGATAAATTCCTAGCAGTGCTATTGCTGGGTCATAGGGTAGGTCTATTTTTAATTTTCTGAGGAACCTCCACACTGCTTTCCAGAGCGGCTGCACCAATTTGCATTCCCACCAACAGTGCAAGAGGGTTCCCGTTTCTCCACATCCTCTCCAGCATCTAGAGTCTCCTGATTTGTTCATTTTGGCCACTCTGACTGGCGTGAGGTGATACCTGAGTGTGGTTTTGATTTGTATTTCCCTGATAAGGAGCGACGCTGAACATCTTTTCATGTGCCTGTTGGCCATCCGGATGTCTTCTTTAGAGAAGTGTCTATTCATGTTTTCTGCCCATTTCTTCACTGGGTTATTTGCTTTTCGGGTGTGGAGTTTGGTGAGCTCTTTATAGATTTTGGATACTAGCCCTTTGTCCGATATGTCATTTGCAAATATCTTTTCCCATTCCGTTGGTTGCCTAAGTTTCTAAAAGTCCTCATGATTCTTTTCTAAAACTCCCTGACTCCCCTGCATTTGGTAAATCCATCCCTTTCCTCTGGCTTGGGGAAGAAACTGAGTCACGGAGTGACTGGACACTACGCAGGAAGCCAGCATCCCCGGCGTGTACCCGCTAGGTGCCAATGCCACCACCCACCCCAGCTATGATAACCAAAAACGTCTCCATCCCTGGTTGGGACCTAGATGGAACTTCAGAAGCCTGGAATAATCTATGCCCTCCAAGATCTCACTTCCCATAAGGAGGCAGGGTGCTTCTCACTTTCCCATTCGAATTAGAATTCTAGTGGAATTAGAATTCGTTTGTCAGAAGCAGATCTATTGTTCTTTTCCTGGAAATGAACCAAGGGTCAGAAACCACATTGCAGAGCACAAGCCCATTCCGGAGCATTTGCAAGGCACATGGCTGATGGGCTGAGGCCAGCAGCTGCCTGGGCTCTGTAGCTCTTGGCACACCCAATGCATCGCAGACTTCGGTGGGCAGGACCCACCCGGAGAGCTTGTTAAGATGCTGATCCTACCTTAGTGGCTCCGGGGTGGGGGCCTGAGACTACATTTCCAATCAGCTCCGGGGGATGTTGATGCTGACACATTGTGAGTAGTACGTGAGTGGCAAGGGCCTTTCTGCTGTGGGATCCCTGCTGGTTCAGGTTGCTTGTCTTTGCCCCCTGCAGTGGCCTAGATGCCCCAACCTCTCACCAAAACTTTCACTGAAACTCTGGGGGACTTTCTGTTTTAAAAGCCAAGGCATATTAGGTCTAGCCACCCACTTCCAAAGAAGCTTCACTGGTGTTCAAACCAATTCAACATTTATTTCTTGGGGGTCTACAATGCTGGTGCCTGCGGGGCTGGTGGGGTGGGGGAGACACAAAGATGAATAGAATAAGGGCCCTGCCCTGCAGGGGCTCCCCGCCTAGTGTCCCACACAGAGAGGGATCGTCAATTCCAGTGTGTAAACAGCTTGAAGGGGGGTGGGGGGTGGGGCGAAGCAGCTGAGAGTGGTGAGAATAGTAGTCACAGAGCCCAGGCTTCTCACTTTGACTTTGGGAGAGTTATTTAACCCCTCTTGCCTCCGTCTCTTAATCTGTATCAGATGGAGATGATAGCAGGTGCTCCGTCATGGCCTATCAGGAGCCGACTTGGATCTTATGGGGGCTTTGCGCACCAGAAAGTGCTGTCCTGACCGGTGGGGATCATTACCTCCTCTCTCCTGGGTCCTGTGTCAGGAGGCGCTCAGTAGAGGGTAAGTCACACACATCTGAACTACTCCTGTATCTCTGACTGACTAAGCCCTCCCCCTTCTTTTTTTCAGGAAAAGAATCCATGGCCCAAAGTGACTGTGCTTTGTTCTGCTGTTTCGCTGAAGAAACAGCTAAGCTGACATTCAACCACAGCAGCCAGGGACCTCATCAGTACTGGGTTCTTACTCATACGCTCATTCAAACGCATAGGTTCTAATTTTAAGGGACTTGTGTTGCATTAGATTAGAAACAACAAAAGACTAAGTCTTTCCAGAACAAGGAGGGGCTGGCATATAAATCCTAGATTCAGATACAAGGATTGAATCCTTTGGTCAGAACCCCGGTATGCGTATGTGAGATTGGGGTTGAGGAGATCAGAAGTGGCTTATGGAACACACGTTCCATCTAGGGAGAGCAGAGGAACGTCTGGGAGCCTGTCCTGGGTGAGCAGAGCCTCAGAAACCCTGCCTCGTCCAGGGTTTTTGGAGAGGGGGCTGAAGGGGGGATAGGAGGGACGGGACTTTGCAGAAGTAGAGCCAAGGCTCCGGAATTGAGTTCAAACCAAAAATCAGTTTGAAGGGACTGTGCAGAAAAAAAAAAAAAAAAAAAAAAAAAAAAATCCTAGGTTGAAGTTTCCCTCCGAATGACACTGATCTGTCCTGATACCTGTTCGGCCCGAGGCTTTAGGTATCTTGAGGGTTGGCACAACATGAGGCAAGTACACGATGGTTCAGGGTGACAAGCTGAAGGTCAGCAGAAGGCCGATGGCAGAGACGCGCAGGCTGAAGTCAAGGTCACACCTACCAGCAGTTACAGTAGCTCATCTTCCTGAGGTAGTGAGGGGTCTGTTTTTGAGGGCATTCCAGGAGAGACCCGATGGGGAGCTGCTGGTGCTGAAGCAAATGGATTTCCACACTGGGTGGGGCAGTGATTTAGAGACCCTCTCCCTCTGGGGCGCCTGGGTGGCTCAGTCAGTTAAGCGTCTGACGCTTGGTTTCGGCTCAGGTCATGGTCACAGGGTCAGGGGATGGAGCCCCGCATTGGGCTCTGTGCTCACAGTGCAGAGCCTGCTTGGGAGTCTCTCTCTCTCTCTCTCTCTCTCTCTCTCTCTCTCTCTCTCTCCATCTCTGCCCCTCCCCCACTCGCACGTGTCCTCTTGCTCTCCAAATAAATAAATAAATAAATAACAAATGTTTAAAGATCCTCTCATTCTAAATTTGGAGTCATTCTTGGTTCTTCTCTCTCTCTCGTGCCCCTACCTGATCCAGCAGCAAATCACACTGACTCTGCCTTCTGAAGAGTGCAATTAACCAAGGACTTCTCACTGCCTCCCCTGCTGCCACCGGCCACAGCCACTATCCTCTTCCACCTGAGTTATTCCAGTAGCCTCCTCGCGGGTCTTTCTGCTCCCTCCCTATTCTCACAGAGCGGCCAGGATGGTCTTTGAAAAGCATTTCTAACCAAGGGGCTCCTCCACCCAGACTCTCCGGTGGCTTCCATCTCAGAGTAAGAGCCAAAGTTTGACATAATTTGGTCTCCTATGATCTGCCTGATCCCGTCTCTTATCACCGCCCTTCAGGCTAGTCACACAAGCCTCCTTTGGTCTCCTATGATCTGCCTGATCCCGTCTCTTATCACCGCCCTTCAGGCTAGTCACACAAGCCTCCTTGCTGCTTCTCCCATGCAGGGGGCACATTCTACCTCAGGGCCTTTGCACTGGCTATTTCTTCAGTCTGGACCACTCTTCCCCCTGAAAAGTCACATGACTTGCTCCCTGACCACCTACAGGTCTTTGCTTAAATCTCCTTTTAAAAGTTGTAACCCCCTCCCTAACATTAACCCTCCACTCTCCAGATGCATTTCTTATTCTCCTTTTCCTTTTTTCTTTTTTTTTTTTTTGCCTCGCAAAAAATCACCACCCTGCACACTACATGCTTACTGTGTTTCTTGTCATTAGAATGTCAGCTCAACAAAGGAAGGACTTGGTCTCTTTTGTGCTGCTGCTATCTCAGCAGACTGCTTTTTAAAAAATAAACGTGTTTGGGGGCACCTGGCTGGCTAAGTGGGTTAAGTGTCCGACTTCAGCTCAGGTCATGATCTCGTGGTTCATGAGTTCAAGCCCCGCGTCGGGCTCTGTGCTGACAGCTCGGAGCCTGGATCCTGTTTCGGATTCTGTGTCTCCCTCTCTCTCTGCCTCTCATCTGCTTGCGCACGCTGTCTCTCTCAAAAATAAATAAACATCAAAGACTAATAAAAAAAAAAATAAGTGTTTTGTAAAAGGGACACATCAACTGTAACAATTCAGACAATACAGAGGAGAACAAAGAAGAATATAAAACCCACCCGAAAACCCACCCCCAAGAGACAACTACTGTCCGGATTTGGGCAACTATTTGAAACATCTGCGTCTCTGTCCAAAATGCATGCATATGTGTGTTTCTACTTAACTGTGATTGCACTGTGCCCGCCGGTCTGCAGCCTGTTTTGTTTCTTAACTTGATAATAGATGAAAATTTTTCCGCTCAAAGAAATAGATGTTATATACGAAGCAAAATTTACGTAACCAATCCTCTGTTTCGGTT